GCGTGCGCTCGATCGGTGACCGCTGGGTGGTGTGGAGGGCTAGGTCACGTGCGATGCGTAGGGCGCCCGGAGTCGGCAGTCTGCGCCCGCGGCTGCGCTTGCGTGTCTCGCATGTCCAAGGGAAACTGGCGGGACGTCTCGCCAGCGCCGCGAGCAAACGTGACAACCCCTCGACGTGTCCATGAAAAGCCCAGCTCAAAGTGCACTCATTTTTGCCCAAGATCCAAGGCCAGTTCGCTGTGCCGCCCGTGCCGCATGCACGTCCTGGCAAGTGAACAAAAGTCAAAAATTCTTGGTGAATGTCTGCGTGAGCCGGACCGCACTTCAGTGTGTTGAGGACGCCGGCAGCTGCCGCTTCGGCGGCCGCCCATACCGCTTCCACGAGCCCGGCGGCGTGGCCTCCATTTTTGCCCATCGCCTTGCCGCCACCTTTGCTGGAACCACGTCCTCGTCCGCCTTTGGGTCCGCCTTTGCCGTCCCTTCCGTCCTTGCCCCCGCGCCGTCTGCGGCCATCTCGGCGTGCTGCAGGGCCGCCTTTGCCTTCTCCTGTGTGACCATGCTCGCGAACGGCTGATCCGTGCGGGCGGTTCATGGAGCGGCTGCGGCTGCGGCTGAGGGCCGGTGCCGGACCTGGCGAGGGCGGCCGCTCTTCCTCCGGGGCCAAAGCGCGGAGGATCGAGACCACGCCCAGGAGAAGGGATTCCACCGGCCACTCCATGAGACGAGGCAGGCGCTGGCTGTGCACCAACCCCTGGATGACCACCACAGCTTGGCACGGGCGGCAGCGTGCCTCGTCCAACCTCACGGGGCGAAGGCGACAAGTGCGGCACTTGGCCATGTTGGGGCTGCAAAGAAACGTGAGCAAGGCTCAAAAGGCTTCGAGCTTGAATGGATGCGGGCATAGACAGGCTGGGCATGTGTCTGCATGTTGCATCCCCGAGACGCGTACGCGACCCCCGCGCGTCCACAGTGCGCAGCGGCGCAGCTGGCGTGCACTGCGAAGGGCGTGCCCTGCCGCCCTCGCCTTCATGGCGGCGGGGGCCATCGTTTCCGGCAAGGTCGCCTCCAGCGAGGGTTCGCGCGCTGGCGTCACGGTTGCACTGTTGCGTCGCGCAACGTCGGTCGTCGCTCTTGGCCCGCGCTGCGGAAGCGAGCTCGGCTCTGATCATTGTTTTTGGCCCCGACGTTTGCGAGTGGGGGGTGCATCGCGCAAAGGCGTCGGTGCCGGAAGGCCGGGCCTGTGTGGCAAGGTCGCGGCGTGCAAGACGCAGCACAAAAGTTCCTCGGGCGTTTGCCCAGCAGCAGTTGCAAGCGCGCCGAGCTCGTGCTCCCCCCCGAGTGCAACGCAGCGCAGGATCTCGTGCGCCCAGCACGCGGCCATCAACACACCGCCCAACGCAGCCCCAGCACACAACCACCCCCAGCAGTGGGAGCAAGGCCCCCAACCTGGCGGATAGTACTGTGGTGCGCTCCCGAAGCAAGTGAGCGCCGCGTGAAGGGTGGCCTGGCGGCAGGATTGCGGCGGAGCCTGGAGCACCTCCGGCGTGGCTTGCCGCGCTGCTTGCACGACCCATCGTGCGGCCGCGGCAAAAGCGTGGAGGGCCATCGGCGCGCCCCCCCGCTCTCAGCAGAGCCCTTGAGCCAAAATGGCTTGAGCCAAAATGGCTTGAGCCAACGTGTATAGAGCACATATGTGTATATGTGTATATGTGTATATGTGTATATGTGTATATGTGTATATGTGTATACGTGTAAGTGTCTCGGCCCGAAGCTGAGTAACGTCAAGTCCAGCGTCGAATGGTTGCGGTGCTGCTATGGTTCGGTCTCTGGCATCTAGCGACAGCCCACCTTCATACTCTGAAAGTTCAGATAGTGAAGACGGGTCGGAGTCACCAAAAACTGCAGCTGCAAGGGAGCGGGCGGCCCGGGAGCGGGTTGAGCGCCACTGGAGAAATCTTCAGAGTTGGAACAGACGCCGCCTCGTGGCAACGCTGTGCGATCAGGCTTACGCGGAGCAGCTGGCCACAACGGAATGCTCGGCCCGACAGGTTGCTGGCAGGCTCAGTGCTTTCAAAAGACGATGCAATGGAAGGGATGCCGATGGGTTGGTGGAATTTACTTTGCCCCAACTGGAACCTCCACGAGCCGAAAACCTCAGCCACGATGTCACTACAGTGCTCCGGCTGTATGACAGCCAAATCCCGCCCAACGATCGGGCCTGGATTTTATCAGAGCAGGTCGGGAGACTTGAGGATCCAGGGCGCAAGCTGGTGGAGCAACAGTTCGAGCTCCTGCTCCAGCGTAGTCTTGCGCCCCAGCTCCGGACAACAGCTGCGCAGGAGTTTGTGCACAGAGCAATTGCTAACGCGGGAGGCAACCTGTACCGCGACTTCATGCTACAGGTGTGGCCGCTATTGTCCACATCGGACCGCTTCCGCTTCCAGCAATGGTACCAAGGCAGACACCCAACTGAACCAGATGAGCCAGGGGAAGACATTGGGACTGCTGAAGACGATGATGAGAGCATGGAGTGCTCCTCTCCACCACGTGGCTCGCGAGATCCACCGTCTGGACCACGACCGACACACGACGACAACACTGGACATAGATGAACGGATCTGCCGCCCTGGTCCCAAGTCCAGGGACATTCACTGCTTGAGCGTCAACTTTCTTCTTCCACCAGGCCTGACACATGGCAAAGCATGCATCAAGACATGCATGTGCATGCAAGTGAAGCCAAAGCAGTGTTTGTAGACACGAGGGTTGGAGGAAGCTTAGGCCAAGGCCCTCCTCGAGTCCTACATACAGTAACTAGCGACTCCATTGAGCTGACAAAGCTTTTTGGTTCCACCCCTTGTAGAGTCTATGGCGAAGGCATGGACGTCTTGAGGGAGTGCAAAACCATTTCAGGTTTCACCAATCATTTTTCCAGGCTCCAAGTTGCGACACAGTTACATTATCAGCAAGGTGCTACATCCTGTGAGCACCCACATCATACATTGGCAGATCACGTTCGTATGGAGGCGCAGCAGCACGGCACTTGGTCCTTCAGAGAAGACCCGTGTCTCGGCGCCGAGGCCGACCACTTTGCTCACCACGTTTTGTTAGCCACAGTGGTAGTATGCATAATCACACTTCGGAACTGTCTGGCCAGAAGCACCCAATGTCTATGCTGGCGCGTCACGCGTGTTCGTCCAGGCTCTTTCCGCAGACGGCACTGCCTGAAAAGGGGCTTGACATCACCACCCGGTGACAAAGCTGAGGTGCACTGTTCGACTAGGGCGCCGGAAGGAACAACATCCCTCATGCCCCCGGACATCCGGAAACCAACTCCCATCCCCAAGAGGTTTAGCAAACCCCGTAGCTCCATTGCCTCCATCTGCATAATGGTTCTCATCCTTAGTGCTCCACTAGCTGCAGCAGCACCCATAGTTACAGAACCTGCCAGCGCCGAGTCGCCGATGAGACTGGGCATGCCGAATGTGATTAGGGCCTTCGGCCGACAGGCAGAGACGCTGTCTGCCTCCAGCAAGCGCTCCTTCAAACGAGCACAAATTAGGGCTATTCGAGATGGAATTGCTAAATATAAAGGCAGGCTGCACACACCAGAGAGCCTCGCTCTTCGCCACATAGGCCTAGCCCGACCTATGCGACCCCCTAGCCAGCAGCCGCCATCACAAGGAGTGCTTCGATGCATGTCGTGGAATGCAGGTGGCCTGCACGCAGGGCGATATCAAGAATTGCTAAGTTGGCTAGATGCTCAAACAACGGATCCGATACATGTAGCATGTATACAGGAAACACACTGGCCTACCTGGGCAGAGTACAATTCTCCTCACTGGACCTGTATTCATTCCGGATTCGGCAGCAGTCACGCAGGGGTCCTTTTCTTGATACGCAGAACCCTGTGTGATGCCAGAGAAATTAAGCATGCAGAGCTGCTGCCGGGACGATTGCTGCACGTCCGACTGCCCAGCAACCCGCCTGTTGATCTATTAGGCCTCTACCAACACTCATGGAACCCGCATCATAAGGCCTTACCAGGTAGCGCGCAGCAGAAACAGCAGGCACTGATCCAAAAACGACAGGCGCTGCTAGACAAGGTGCAGCAATGGGTGCAAAGTGTGCCACGCCGCAATGCGGTTCTGATACTAGGTGACCTTAATGTGACCTTACGTACCGAACTCCCCCATATAGGATACGGAGTCACTGCGGCCTCCAAATCCCCCCACCCAGATCAGTCCTCAGCGCAAACACTAATCACTAATCGCGAGTCCAGGACTTACAGCGATCAACACGTGGGGCAAACAGGGCAGCCAAGCTGGCACGTTTGCACAGCACAACAACAAGATTGTGCAGCTTGACTATTTTCTCACCAGGCTACCCTGTCAGCCTCATGCTATGCGGGCACAGGCTCTCAGGACGTCACAGCTGGTCCATCCCACAGGTATGAGACATTTCCCGATTGAATGTCGTTTTCCGTACACGGAGTTTAGACCAGTAAACAGACCTAGCGACGCCCCGACAGCCAAACAAGTGCGACGTAGCCTTGCCCAGCACAGCCAATTGGCGCCCGCCTTTCAGAGGGCTTTCCGCGACATTGTGTCCAGTCGCCCGAATCCACACCACAACATAGAGCAATGCCTACACACAGCCTGGCAGCAAGCGAACAAACAAAGTACTGCGGGAAGAGCTCCAACCCTGACTGTTGATGACAAAGCGTCCACGACACCTACCCTCAAGAGGGTTTGGCAGTGCAAGACGCAGTACAAATCCTCTCTAGCAAAGACGACTACAACGCACCAGTCTTGTGGTACATAAGCCAAGCTAGCGCACATACTATGCAACGATACATCCCACATTCACTGCGACGCACTCGCTCAATCTTCGCATGCTGGAGAGATGCTGTCTGGTTCCAGAAGCAGGACCGACACTTCCGCAAGCAGGCCAGGGCCAAGAAGGTGCAACAGGTGGACTCTCTCATCCAGTCAGCAGAACAAGCAGAGCGTAAGGGCATCAGTCAGCTACAACAACTCACCAAAGTCCTTCGCCCCAAGTCATCTAAGCGAACAATACACTTCCGAGATGACAGAGGCCACCTGCTTGATGGTCAGGGAGAACTGCGCAGCCTCACCCAGTTCTTTCAGGACCTCTATCAGTCCAACGCAGGAGCACAACGACAGCACACTCTGCAACAGCCACTAGCAATTACGACACAAGAGATACAGGCAGCCCTCCAGCATATGTCCGGAGGCAAGGCACTGCCCCACAGACAGGTACCGGCCGTGCTATGGAAGCTAGTAGGTACAGAAGTAGTGCCGTTACTATGCAAATCATTTAATCAGGTCCTGCAGCCAGGCAATCTCTGCTTCCCCGATCGCTGGCACGACACGTTTATGACGCTCATCCCCAAGCCCGGGAAACCCCCAGACAGGCCAGCTAATTTAAGACCCATATGCTTACTGCCGGCGGAGTCGAAACTCCTAGCGCGCATAGCGGCAGAGCGGCTCAAACCGCTGTTGCAATCAGCGCTGCAGACAGTACCGCAGTTCGCGTACAGTCGCTCTCGTCAGACTGCAGATGCCATCGACCGAGTGTGTGCACACTGCAACAGAGTCCGCTCCAGACTTAAGCTACATAATCGATCAGTATTTGTGCTTAAGCAAAAACATACCACGGTGCCATTGGCAGGAGGGATGATGTTGTCGCTAGATTTGTCGAGGGCATATGACAAGCTCCCGAGAGCGACGCTCGAACGAGCGCTGATACGGGTCAATGCCCCACCTGACCTAATTTCTCTAATACTATACATCCACGACAATGCCAAGATCATTCTAGAGAAACATGGCAACGAAGAGCGGATTTCACTAGGTAGAGGAATTCGTCAGGGGTGCGGCCTATCTCCACTGTTGTGGCTAGCTTTCACAATCCTATTGCAAGATCAGTTCCAGACGTATCTGCCGATTAATGTCACAACTGGCTACGCAGACGACTACGAGATGCAATGGGAATTTACGCAGGCCAGCGAGTTCAGAAATGCCTGCATACAAGTTAGCAGAATGCTTGACACCCTGACACAGGCGGGCATGGATGTCGCTAAGGACAAAACAGTCATACTGCTAGCTCTCCGAGGCAGAGACGCAGCGGACCTGCTGAAACATTACATGAGGCGACACCAGGGCCAGAGATATCTCTATCTTCAACACCTTCAACATAGTATCATGCTGCCCATTCGCACCACACATACGTACCTCGGGGTCAAAATAGGATATGGCACTTTTGAGAAAGCAACAGTTCAGCACAGACTAGGATTGTCATGGGTGGCATTCCATCGACTCCACCTTTTCTTGAAGAGCCAGAAAGTTCCTTTAGACAAGAGAGTCAGACTCTGGAGCTCAACTGTGTGGGCCACAATTCGTTACGGCATTGTCGCCGTAGGCCTCGATCAGCAGGCAGCTCGACAGCTGGAATCCCAGGTTTTCAGGCAACTGCGCATAGTAGCGCGAAGCCCGGGACAGGTCACTCATGAGAAGAACTCTGACCTTCTGACCAGGCTAGGACTACCACATCCGTTTGTCATGCTGCATCAACAGGTCATTAAGCGCATAGACAGCTGCCGGGCGAGCCTGTCACATTTGCAACCTCCGGTTGTTCAGCAGTGGTGGGACCTGCTAGCCAGCAGTTTTACGAACTTAGCGCAGCCTTCAAGCCAGCATTGCCACCTAACTGAAGTCACGCAACAGGTCGTGTTTAAGCATCAATGCCCGCACTGCCCGCAAATGTTCCCGACCTTTCACGCACTCAATGTGCATTTAGGTAAGAGCCACCCAACCAAACAACCCCGGAAATCCAGAAATCCCACGCAAAAGAACAAGCGAAGGGATGAATTCCGGATTCATGCCCTGAATGGCATGCCGCAGTGCAAATACTGCTTGCGCCGTTTTCATGCCTGGCCTCAGTTCATGGGACATGTGGATCAGCAAGCATGCGAGGGCTTGAAGACGGTGTTCGCAAGTTTGATCCCCGACACTTCCGAGGGCCGGGAATCAAAACTAGATACCTCCTACCAAGGGGCGTCCGCGCCAGGAGGCATCCCTGCACCGACCACGGAAACCCTACCGCTTCTGCAGAGACCGGAGCTGCAAAGGCTGGCGCAGCAACAACAAGTACAGGCCCTTGCAAAAGCCATCCGGCAGGCAGGCTGTAACAATCATTGTCCTCAGTGTTTTCAGTGGTGCACGGGACACAGCTACGTCATTAAACATGCACTAAAGATGCATCCTGCCATCACAAAGGCACAGCATGACATAGCTGCGTGGGTTCAAGCTCGGACCAGCATCCAACGCCCCTGTGAGTGGTGTGGCGAGTGGTTTCAGGCCAGGCCTAGAAACCATATTAAGTCGTGCCCAGTCTTGTGGACGTGCGGACTCTTTCTTTCACAGTTTGGCACCCTTGAGGACCACCTCCAGCTCAAGCTTCATGCTGTCTTTGACGGATGCTCAGGAGGCAGAGCTGCAGAGCGCCCAAAGCGAGCTGGCACAGTTCGCCTCCAACATGAAGAAGGAGGTCTCAACGGCAGCACCCTCGGTGACGAGCCAGGCGAGCCAGGAGGACGGCGACATGGACGTGGACCGCTCCAGGGAGAAGAGAGCAGAGGCCACATCGTCGGCCCCGGAGGAGCCACAACACAAGTGGGCGAAAGGGGAAGCCAAAGGCGAGACTCGCCAAGAGGAGGCGCAGACAACTGGGAAAGGGGGCGGTGCAGGACCGCTGCAGCGGAGCCCTCCTCGCGAAGCATCGCAGGCGGGAACACTGCCGACAACCACGGTTCCCGGACAGGAGGAAGAGCAGGCCAAGGCCAAGGAACCGGAGATACAAACTCCGGGCAGGGTATGGCGACAGGAACAAGGCCGCCAGGGGTACCAGGGCTGGAACAGGAGCCAGGGCAACCGATATTGGGGGCAGGATCGCCAACAAAGGGAACTCCGACAACGCTGTCAAAGATCTAGTCAGGGCAGTCGCTCGGCTAAGCCTAAGACAAGAAGACCAGCAAGCCATAGCGGGCCTGGATACAGACTTCGTCTTTTTCCTGCAGTCCAGCAAGTCAGGCAACACAAGGTCAGTGACGGATGCGTTGTACAAGACGGCCCAGGACTGGAATACACAGAAGGAGCGCGAACCAAGCTCCTTAACCCAACCTATGCGCAATGTGTTGCTTTATTGCCTGCTAAGCACGCTTCTGGAACGGGTCGAGATACTGGAGACGGATGCTCAAGAGCTGGAGAAAGTTCGGGAGCAAGGACTGGTGATCGGGGAGGCATACCCATATTTACAATGGGACGCCTCGCTCAAGAAACATGTGCCCTCCCAGATGGAGCCACTGGGTCACAAAGCAGCCGTCGAGATGATCAAAATGGCCCTCCGCCTGGCCGCCTTTCCCGGAGTAGTCGGCAGATTTCATGCATTGAGGAACCGCAACGAGAAGGCTCCTGCGGAAGTGATACCATTCAGCCTCCAGGTGCAGAACCGCACCCAGGAAAGCCACCAGATGTGGGTCTGCATGAATCGCCTATCCCGATGCAGCTGCTGGCATCTTCTTGCCGGGACCATGAGACCGGGCAAGCTCGGACGGAGCCCCCTAGCCAAGACGATCGAGCACCTCCTTCAAGACTTCTAAGCTTGAGCCCCAGCTGCGTCCTTACCCTCACGTTGATTAACAATAGTAATGTCTGTTATGCGAACTCAAGTATACTAGCAGTCCTATGGTCCTTAGCCTCTACCCCACAAGGCCAGCAAATCCCTCTTCGCGAGCTTCACCGCCTGCTGCAATGGCTCACGCGCAAACCCCAGCGAGTACTGTTATCGAGCTTAAGGGTTTGGCAAACGATAACTTTTGACTGGCAGGAACCCGACTCTCAGCATGACGCGGCAGAGTTTTTGGACTTCCTCAGTCCAGCCTTGGTCTCAAGCACAGATGCTGGCTGGTGGGAAGCACGCCTTTCCACAGAACCCACCCTACCTGATTCCATGCCTTATCAGGTGGTGGATCACGGAAAGATGTGGCCACTGGTGCTGACAACGGCACTGAGCCCAGCCACAGCAGGTGTTAGGCGCAAGGAATGGACCCTCCAAGCCCTAATCATACATTGGCGCAATCAGGCCGTTCAGCATGCCGCAGTGACGGCTCCGCCAATTTTGCCTTTGCAGCTCAATCGTTTCGGGCGAGATGGCACTAAGGTTCTAGACCCTATAGCCTTAAGTCCCACAGTGTATGTCCCCAGATACGCAGGCAACGGCTGCAGGACGGAGTCGGTCCGGTACCAACTCGTAGCGGTGCAGTACCATCTCGGCCAAACACCGCTGTCAGGCCACTATCGCACGGCCTTCTTCTCCCAAGGGGCTCCCAGGTATACTACGGATGACAACCGCGACACTCAGACATGCAATTCCTCCGATATCGATTATATCAAGCGAAATGCTTATGTATGCTATCTCGTTCGCAGCTGAGCCTTCTTCTTGGAGCTTGCATGACGAACAACCGACCTGACGACAAACTAAGTTGTTTCGAGCACGGTTCTGTACCGTAATTCCTTCTTTATTGCAGTTCACGGTAATCTTGCTTGTTTCTGTCTCCTATAGGAAGATACGGTCAGGTCGGGCTGTTTCGAAATAAGAGACCCTTCGGGGGTTTTAAAACTCATGGCTTCTCAGACATCTGCTCTAAGTGGCGGATCACGCCGGGCAGATGACGGTGTCGTGTTCATATTGAAAATTGTTATCATTGTGTTGTTCTTAGTACAAAAGAGGCCATCCTTTTGCACTCCCTGGGATGTCGATCAACATGACCGACATGCATCTTTAAGATGCCGGCTTAGCTGCTCATACGCAACGCAGGACTCTCTTGCGGCGGAGGAAGAAAGTGTATACATGTATATGTGTATGTTTTTACATGTGCATATGTGTATATGTGTATTTATGTATTTGTGTATCTGTGTATCTGTGTATCCGTGTATCTCTGTAAGTGTGTATACGTGTATATGTGTGCATGCATGTCTGTGTGTAGGTATGTAGTTAAGTACGCAAACAAGCAAGGAAGTCAGTAAGTAAGTAGGTAGGTAAGTAAGCAAGTACGTAAGTAAGTAAATAAATAAGTAACTAAGTAGGCAAGTAAGTAAGTAAGTAAGTAAGTAAGTAAGTAAGTAAGTAAGTAAGTAAGTACTTTAGTAGGTGAAGAAGTCCGCGACCGGCGCCCGAAGCCGCGGCACGTTTCCTTGCTCTCCCCCATGAGCCTGATGCAGGAAGGGTCCAATCCGTTGCTGCCGCTGCACAGGCCGCCGTCGTCCTTTGCCAGGCACTCGGGCCGCGCACCTGCAGCTGCCGCCGCAGCCTTGATGCCCTTGGGGACCACCGTGCGGCTTGGGGCCCGCGTCGCCCGGAATGCCCGCGTCGCTGACATGAACATTGATGTTCCAGTCACTGATGCGCGGGCGCATCGAGGTAGTGTGCAACGGCCTGCGCTATGGCATCGCGCCCAGCTCGCCGTCGATGAAAGCATCGTGTCCCCCCTGACACGTGATGGCCTGCCTCACCCTGGCGCTGATGTCTCTCCCGCGCAAAGCGAAAAGACGGGAAACCTACCCGGAGCTGCTCGGTGCACGCCGTTGCCGACTCGTTGTGTTCGGCATTGAAACGGGCGTTGGGGCCACCCGCCTCCTCGCTCATGCCAGGGCCCTGAGCGCGCCAGCTCCGTTTCCCCAGGCTGCGAGAGCTGCTTGGGTGCAGCGATGGAGCGGTATGCTCGCTGTCGCCGCTCAGAGTGCCGTCGCCGCATCCCTCCTCGACCTCCCCGCTGGCTCTGAATCCGGTGCTGCGGGCGAGCCGCCTGCTTTGCACAAGGTTTTGGCTGACGCACGCTGGATAGTGGCGGCGGGGCCCAATCGCTTGCCGGCTCGGCTCGCCTGAGCCTGTGTGTTGCAGGTCCACAATGGACCGCGCCAAGCCATCCCCCCCATAGAGGGCCGCCCGGACGACCGCAGACTCCGCAATGCAAGCGCAAAAAGCGTGTTGAGGAAAAAACAAAAAAACAGAAAAGGTTGCCCCCCACGTGCGACGGACAAGTCTGGTGCGGTGTGAGAAAAGAGAAAGACAACACCAATTTTGTTGTTTTGTTGTTTTTGTTTTTTTGTTTGTTCTGTGTTTGGGGGATGCAGTAGCAAGAAAGTGAACATGTTCAGTGACGCTGCTTGCTGTGCCGGCGACATGTTGATTCGAGCAGAGCGGCCCCTGTTTCCTGTACTCCTGCAGCGAGAATGGCCAGCAGCTTGTGCACCATCCATGCGTACTTCCAAGTGTTGGACGAGGCAGTCGCTGCATCCATCTTGCAGCATTTCGTCCAGCACACCAAGGCAGAGCCCGGTTTCGCGATTTTATGGATTTTGTAGCTGAAAGGCAGTGTGTTGTCCATGGGCCAGAACCTTATCGTATTGATTGCACCAAGTCAGCAGTGTGTGCAAAACACTCTGGTATACTCTGGTGATAGATAGGTTCTTATGCGTACGGTTAGCTTTGAAAACTTATTGACTTATTGATGTGTCCAACAGGATGAAAGCGGCTGCTTTTGGTATGCTTGGGATCGTTCCGGAGACAAGTTGTTCTGCAATGAAGCTTATGAGGACGCCCAGGCGGTGCTGACCCACATGGAAAATCTTGGAAAAGCAGGCACTTTCAAAGATGCTGCCAAGCTCACACAAATAGAGTTCCACGGTCCTGCTGTTGAGCTTGCGAAGCTACGCTCGGCTGCCGAAGCCGTCAATGGCAAACTTTTCACAGAGGATGGGGCTGCAGGCTTCATGCATCCCCTCACACCAGGTGCAGATGCCGAGCCTGCATCATTGTGCACTCTGCATGCATACTATGACCTCACGGATGAAGGCAAAGCGGAGCCTGTGCTCGCCGACTTGGCAACAAGGACGAAATCGGAGAAGGGCTGTGTTTACCATGGCTGGACGAAGGCGGGCGACACGCTTTTCTGCCGCGAGGGGTATTTGGACAGCGATGCGGTTCTGGCGCATCTCAGCAATGTTGCCTCCTGCACGGGCCTCGCTGACTGCACCCGCTTACGGCGCTTGGAGCTCCACGGCCCGCCGTCAGGGCTTGCCAAGCTGCAGGACATCGCGCAACAGATGGGCGCGGAGTGTTATGAGCGACAAGTGGGCTTCCAGCGCGTGGCCCTGGCATCGGCAGTCAAGGCCGAACCGTTGTGTGGCCTTCATTTGGATCGGACAGTCCTGCGCGACTTCTGCTCCATCCATGCTTACTACAGGGTGACCAACGACGTTGCCGTGGGGAGGCTTCTTGCGGGCTTCGAAGCCAGGACAAAGGCCGAAGCAGGCTGCCTTTGGTATGCGTGGGACCGGATAGATGACCGGTTGTTCTGCAACGAAGCCTACGCCAATGCTGAGGCCGTCTTGGCACATGTGCAGCATCTCGAGGGAGTGGGTTCTTTCGGCGGCGCCGCACAGCTCACCGACATCGAGTTCCATGGACCCGCAGCAGAGCTGGAAAAGGCCATGGATTCAGGGTTTAAGTTTTAAGTTCGAGGGGTTTTCGCCCGTACCTGCGGCGAACGCTTCGGCTTGTCTTTATCTGGAGGTCATGGGCACGGCGAAGAAGCTTGGTGCGGCTCTCTTTGCCTTGGAGTCGGACGTGACCTTCAAGCCAGTGGATCTCTGCACCGAAGGGGAAAAGTCTGACTTGTGCACCATGCATGCTTATTTTAGGGTGGAGGATGAGTCGGGTGTTGCTGGTGCACTCGCTGAGCTGGTGGACAAGTCCCGAGCGGAAGACTCTTGCATGTACTACGGCTGGACCCGTGCAGGGACAACCCTTTTCTGCCGCGAAGGTTACACAGGTGCAGCCGGCATTCTTGCACACCTCGCGAATGTTTCTGCTTGCGGTGGCCTCACAAAATTTGCCAAGCCACAGCGCATCGAGATCCACGGACCGAAAGAAGAGATAGCCAAGCTGCAGCAGACAGCTGACGAAATGGGTGCCACCTGCTACACACGGCAGTCTGGTTTCCAACGCTTCCAGGCGAGACCCACGCTTCTGGGCACCGCGCCGCTGGCTGTTGCCCGCAGGAAGGGCGACGTGGAGCCATGGAGGCAGCTGTTCCGGGTGGTGGCGGCGCTGAAGTACGTCGGCCTTGCAGGGCTCGCTCTGACTTTGTTAGCCAGGCTGGCACAGCGGATGCAGCGCAGGAACGGGTGGAACTTTGCGGTCGCGAGCCTGATGATGCTCCTGGGCCATCTTGCCGAACGCAAGCTTCCTTCTGGCGAAATGTCCTGAAAGGAGAGCGGCATGGCGGGGCCCGGCATGTGATTAATTTGTAGTGCAAAGCCTGGAGTACGAACGTAATCTCCACTTAGCCAATTGAAGGGTATACCTGAAAGGCACGGCACACCGTGAGAGGGGAGCGTGCCCTTCATCAACTGGTAGCAGAACAAAGGTCAGCTGCCGGTAGTGTTCGCAGTCAGAGCAGTGCGAACAAAGTGAGTGACACAGCGGGTGCAAATCTGCATAATCTTGAGGAAAAGGTCATGCCATCGCACAACAACCACAGCCTTCCCCAAAGGGGGAGGAGCTCATGGCAGTTGGCTCAAAGCAACATGCAGCCGCCAACTGAAGCTGATGGATCCGAGCCATGGCGAGGAGCGATCCGAATGGAAGCCCGGGCGGCTCTCCAGGAAGTGTTGACTGACATCGGAGTGCCGGTGAAAGGCTCCATCACACATCCACCCTCACCAAGTCGCCAGCCGGACGCGCGGCGAACGCCCTCGGCCCCATCACAGCACATACGTTTGCCTTTGCCCGGGAACCTTCACCGTGCCGATTCTTCGATTTCGCCTTGGGGGCGAGCTGCCACTGCTCACCAGTTCACTCGAGGCATCTCGGAAGGAGGTGCCGAAGTCATGCTCAATGACGCAGCCATCGCTGAGGCCTTGCATGAGTGGCACCGCCACCCCCGAAAGCTGAGATCCAGAAGCGCCTCCCCAACGAACAAGAAATTTCGCAAGTTTGGGCACGGCAGCGGGGGTCGATTTAAGGAATTCAAAGCTCCGAGCATGCCGCGAGAAGATCAGCTTATTCGAACATCCCGGCGCTACATGCAAATGGCGAACCCATTATTAATCAAGGAATTGACTGCGCCTGCGGCGTCCAGGCTTGCAGCTGTGGTGGAATCACCAGAATTCAGCGGCTTTATCGGTGCCATGATTTTGGCCAATGCAATCGCCATCGGCATGCAGACCCAGCATGAGGCAGAAACATGGAGCCTCGCAATACCGCCTGCTTTTGCCATAAGCCCCTGGGTGCTGTTTCGTTTGCTTCGTTGTTTGTTTGACTCAATGAGTAGACTATTCCGAACGGCCATCCAGCAGAAGCTTTCGACAACGCTCCTCAGGTGAAATGTTCTTCGCGGTCGTATTTGCTGTGGAGCTGTCGCTCCGCGTTGCAGTGGCGGGCTGCGAATTCCTCACTGGGCCTGACCGCAATTGGAATCTTTTCGATACAACGCTGATCTTGGCACAGGTCATGGAGCAAGCGTTTCCTGCAGAAGTTTAAGAGCATGTTGCAGTTGTCCCTTGCATCCGCATGCCATGTGCGCAGATATCAGTGGCATTTGTCTCGACCGACCCAGGATCTTCGCAGCATTCATCTACCATCATGGTACCTTGGAAGGTCTCAGTTATTCTGACTTGATGCCGGACAGTGTCGTTCTTCGCGCTTTGCGCATCTTTCGACTGCTTCGTATCCTGTGACTTGTCGCTGACAGCTTCTTCTTGCACGGTATGCGAAACGTGCAGTCGCTGTATGAAACGGGGTTGAAGATGTCTGACCTGTCTCAGGCGAGTGCTGCGAATGATGCACATCAGCAGCGAGTTGCAGGTCCTGCACGTGGTAATTAGTTGTGAATCTGGGTTGGTTTCCGCAGTTGCTGCTGGTTTCCCGGTACGTGTGCTGAGTAGGAAGATAGATGGCAAGCTGCAGTGGTGCTTGTTGGCAGGGTGTTTGTGCTTGCTTGTATAGTGCCAGAGGCCATCATGACTGCGATTGTCAAGGGGCTGCGCTCGTTCATCTGGACCTTGGCCTTCATGTTCTTGGTGCTCTATGCAGTGGGTGTCTTCCTCACTCAGTGCGTCACTGATTACAAAGTGGCTCGAAAAGCCGATGGTTCTGCATCCGAGAAGCTGCAGGACTATTTCGGCTCGCTCCCCGAAACGATGTTGGCCTTGTTCCAGGCCATTACAGACGGCCAGGAATGGCGAGAGATGCTGGAGCCCCTAATCTGGGAAATCTCGCCTTGGATGGCGGTCCCATTCTGCATGTACATCGCTTTCATGGCCTTCGCCCTTCTGCCCCCGCCTCAGGAAAGGGACAAGGAGTTGAGTTGGCATTGCTGGGATGGGGTTGGGACGACTCTTGCAATCCATGTTGAGCTTTGAGCACTTTAACCGCCACCTAGGAACATACTCACGGGCATTTTCGTGGACAGCGCGCTGGACAACGCACAAGAGGAGAAGCGCCGCTACCTCCTACAGGAAGTGGGCCTACTCTTCAGAGAGGCGGAGAAGGACGACTGGGTTCAGAGCTTCACACTTAAAGGATCATGGGACTTAGTAAGTAGGGTTATAATTAGGGTAACTATACTTATAACTTATAACCCCAATTAAGGGACTTATAACCTTATCTATTACGTCCCATGATCCTCCAAGCAACCAAATTGCTGCTAACAGTGCTGTTGCATCGCTTGCTGCCCCCGCAGCGGCATGGCCATCAGGAGCAGATCACCTGGCCGGACTTCCAGGCCCAGTTGCGCAATCCGCACATGCAGCAGCTTTTTGCGGCCCTTGACGTGGATGAGTCTTGTCTGCCTTACGTAAATGCGTGCCTAGAGAGGGTCGTTGCCACCAATGGCACCCCGGTCGTTTCATGCAACGACAGAGGAAGAGGATGCTGCGGAGCTTTTCCACATGCTTGATGCTTCCCACGATGGCTTCATCCAATCCGACGACTTCCTCAACGGCTGCTTGCGCCTTGACGGTCCGGCCAAGGCCATCGACTTGGCAGCCTTCATCGAAGAAAGCCGCAAAGTCAATCGCACGTTCTTGGAGCACGCCCTCTGCTCGGGAATGTGATGTGCTGCACTTGTGCCTTGTGCTGCTGTGTCCCGTTCCGCTCTGTAGCCTTGACCTTGGCTCCAAGGCCAGGTTCGTCAGCCAGACTCTCGGCTGGCTGGTGCATGCCACGGAAGCCAACGCCCATCACCACTCAGCCCTCCAGACGCCGAAGGAACCATCAGGCTCGCAATGAATCTTATATGAGTTTGGGCATGCGCCACAAGCTGCCAAACCCTAAGAAGCAGGTGCAAAACGGACCTGCCTCATGCTAGCGCCATGGGCGGTGACCTTTGATCTGAGTTTCATGTTGCCCTGGGGCTACTGCCCACGTGCTTGGCCCAAGCGCTTGTGCCCCGAACTGAACCGGCACACCGTTCCCTGTGATGGCATGGTGGCCTTGAGGACTTCCGGAGGCCGTAACGAGTCCGTTGTGCGTGTTGCACATGCGTGATGCCCACTTCTGGCGCTGGCTGTCAGGTTGTCGGTGCTGCCTGTTCTTTCCACGCGTGCTCTGAAGCCGAAGCCGTCTCGGCTCAGCAGGCTAGTTTCGTGGTCAGGCAAACCATCCATAACCCAGCGCCCAGCGCTGTACGAAGGCGTCTCTGCTGCAACTTCTGTCATTTCGGTGTGGAAACAGCATGCAAAAGCACACTCTTGTCTGAATTTCTCGAAGTCCTGGTCATACCTGGTCCCCGACCTTAGGAAGCAGAGGATGCAGGGGATCTTGCGCAGAATTGTCCCCTGGCTTGGTCGCCTGCGTACGTAACACTGCATCTTGGTGTTTGCTCCGACTGGTGTGCGAAATGCCCTGTTGACGGACCGATGGACAGCCTAAGGTTTGCGTGTCCACGCTTGTCACTTATGCGGGATGCACGGTCGCTTGGCACGGGGAAGCCGACAACTCTGGCACCATACAACAATCCTCCCGGCTTGGCTGAGAAGCCCGAGGTGGTCGCTTCTGAAGAATGGAGACACATCTCCGAAAGCACCGGCTCCCAGCAGAGGGAAACGCAGGCAGCTCGGCAGGAGGAATTAGCCAGGCTTTGAAAGCTAAGGCTGTCGATGGCGCTTGGTTGGCTTCGGGTTGTCACGGGTCGGACCGCCACACTAGTAGAGATGCAGAGAAAGAGAGAGGCAAAGGAAACTTTGAGATCCTCAGCCTTTGTAGAAAGAAGAAAGACAGAGGGAGTATCGAGAGGCAAGAAGACGAGAAGCAAGCCTGCAATGGCTTACTGGCAGAACGGTTGCAATGGCAAGGGCCACGGAAACCATGATTGAGTCGGCCTGTGCGGATTGAGGCTTCAAGCTAGGATATTCCAAAAGAAGGCAAAGTAGATAAGCCACAAGCAGGTGACAATCATCTTTTCTCACAGGCGAAGCAGGACATGTGACAGCCGTGCGGCGTGCCGAGGATGTTGCGGCCAATAGCAGTCGAACACATGTCGCCATCTCTGCGGGTGGCCAGCCTTCGGTGATGAGAAGAGAGGCGGCTGGACTGCACGGGTTCCCACATCTGGGCCAAACGTTGCATTGAAAGTTGGTGTGTGTGTGTGTGTGTGTGTGCGTGCGTGTGTGCGCGTGCGTGCGTGCGTGCGTGCGTGCGTGCGTGCGTGCGTGCGTGCGTGCGCATGTGTGCGTGAGTGTCCGTCCTGACTCTTGGAGCAATTCCAGGCCCCAAAGCATGAGCAAAGGGAGTTCAAGTCAGAGCACCAGAAGACCCTGGAGCGTGCCTTGGAGAGGCACGGTGCGTGAAATCCAAACGAATCAAACCGTTCATTGGTCCGGCTACGAAACATCATGGTTCGCATGTTGCCCATGTACATCATGCTGTTTTGGTGTCCGCAGGGCGTCCGAGATCGCGAAGGAGGCCAGCCCGGAAGATGCAGCTTACAGAGCAGCTCACCGAAACAAGTAGAGTCCAGGGCGTGGCAACTTCGGGCAGGCTTTCTAGCTTAAGCAGCAGTTGTGGATGTGAGCCGTTTCGTTTTGATCTGAACAGAATGATTTGGCTTCAATTTTCTTGTCTTACAGATCTCGCCAAATCCTTGGTCCTCAGTTTTGTTTACAATGACTTTGGCCGTTGCTCATCTCGACAGGCTCCAACAGAATCGTGCCCAGTTTCGTGGTCACGTTTTGCGTTCGAGCCGTATCGTGTTCTGAGCTGTGCCCTGGTCGTCGTCGTTGTCTGTCTTCCACACTGTCCCAACGCGTCCAAGCATGTCCTGTCTTTGTAGCTCGCGCCGAACAACGAGAAATTGTTGGCAGCGAAAGAACGAGCTTCTGTATTTGGGTGTGGTTGGTTTGGGGTTTTGGGTATTTTCTGGTTCTGTACAGCTTGTTGCTTCTTTCGATGGACTTTCTCCTTGTCTCTCTCTGTCCCAAGATTTGTTTCGGCATGTGACGTCCAAGGAGAGTCTTCTCAAGGAAGCTCTCAAACTTGTGGAGCAAGATGGGGAGAAATCGCCCCATAGCTGCAGCCAGCTGTCAGCAAGTGAAGATCTGCCCCCCCGCCCCAAATATTCAAGGTCAGCAGCCGTGCAACTTAAGGAGAACGAGGCAGGGATGGGGATTTCCAACAGTCGGTTGAAATTGGAGACTCTCGCCAACCGCTAAGGCACAGAACGGCTTCACAGCCTTGCGCAACAGCACGACTCCCGGTGCCACGACAACCACGACAAGTAAGCCGTCCACTACAACATCCACGGAGGCCTCAACGACGACCACGGAGAAGTCGACCACAACTACCAAGAAGGCTACGACTGCAACGACCACCCGCCCAGCCACCACCACCACCAAGCGTGCTGTGACGTTCGACATTGTCACTACGAAGCCTCCTCCCCATGCGGCTCCCGTGCTTAGCCACGCCCCACCGGTGACGTTGCCATCGGACATGTCTCACGAGCAGCACGACCATTTGAACGGGGACGAGTGGAACGCCCACATCTCCGACCACTGGGGCATGCACGGTGGAGGTCATGAGCCAGTACAGGAAGCAGAACCCTGGAGCATCCACACAGATGCAGGTGCTACTGAGCATGATGAAGCTGATGGGTGGCACGACGTCCTTCAGCACGGAGACGACGACCATGCGAGCCATCCCATGCCAGAGGATGAGATGCACCACATGGATGACATGCACCACATGGATGACATACACCACATGGATGACAACATACACCACATGGATCCCATGGTCCATGAGCCTGAGGAAATGGAGCACGAGCTGCCACACGTGCATATTTCAGTCGAGCCGCCACCTTCTGGCTCTGCACCTCTGGCTGTGGAAGACTACGACCATCCCATGCCTCCGGTGGCACCGCCGACCCCGCCGCTGACGGATCAGGCCATGAAAGATTCTTCAGCCGCTGGAGAGGAGGCAGCAGATGCTGCGATGCAGATGGGCTGCTTGATCTGCAGTTTAAATCAGGTTCACAGCGTCCCACCATGCTCAGCCTTCCAATTCTGTGAAGCTCTATTCTGTGTCTGTAAGGCTTGCCAGCGGAACGACAAGCCTCTGTTGCTGCTGCAGCTGCAGCGGCGGCTGCCGCAGCCGATGGAATGCCAGCCGGCAAGATTCACCAACAGCCTAGCAGTCAGGCATCTTGTGTGGGATGCTTGCCGAGGAGCCATGATCAGCAAGCAGCTGCAGCGAAGGCCATGGCTGGGTTTCCGGGGTTGTGGAGCTTGTTGTTTGTTTGGGCCAGGAAGCTGCCGATCATGCTCGCTGGTCTGCGGGCACAAGCTCCACCCAGCCACCGATCCCGGAGCACTTTGAGGAGAACCGGTTCATGTCGTGCCTTTGAAGGTTTTGGGTCCGGTGGCCTTGCAAGCCCTTGCAATACGTGGGGACGGTAAATCCAGGACCCTACAATCGAGACTTGGCCGATGACGTTCAAAGCGAAAGGCTGCCACAAGGCACCATGAATATTTGTCACTCTGTCCGTCCAAGTGAACCCCATGAAACGTCTTTACGACCTGAATTTGTAGCTTTTGGAAAGTCGATGCAGGCTGCCTGTGGCCCAATTGATGGGTTCAGAGCTCAGCCAGGGCGGAGGGAAGAGAAGTCGGCTGAGCGGAGCGCGCTTCGAGGAGGGCAGAGCTTGGGGAACTTGGGTGTTACCGCTGCTTTCTCAGGCTGTTCCATGAGGTTGGCGAGAACGAGGGCCATCCGATGTATGCCAAAGACGGTGAGGAGGATGCACCAGCCTCGTGATCCTAAAGTCCGAGCGAATCAACCGAACCGCTGGGTCACCGCCCCGAGGTGACATTGTACTTCCTCAATCACGAGAACATGGCCAAGAGGGGTTGGTGGGTGGGCACATTTCCAGGCTCTACGACGACGTCTTGCGGCTGCAATGAAGGAATTTATCCAATGAGATTGTCGAGTTTGGAGATGTCCAAAGAGTACTCGAGCCCAAGCGCTTCTCCTCTTCATTTTGTTTCATCTGCATGTCGGCATTATGTTCCGAACCCCTGCTTTTCTCCGCTGTCACTCTGCCTTGCGTTTCCGCTTGCTGCCAAACCATGCCGGGAGGGGTGCTGATGATGAAGAGGTTGGGGAGGAGTGGCTGGACTGAGGGCGAACGTAACTATATTAAGGTGAAGAGGAAAGTGAATGTCAGAGGAAAGTGGTCACGACCACGATGGTTGGCACGCGCACTTTAAAGCAGCGAGGTATGCCTTCAATCCGTCGGAGGTCTGGGCCTCGGTAGCGAGATATCCTGCAGGGCTCTCTTATTGGTCCGCCGGTCTCGAGGATGTACTGCCTCCTATGTTTGGATGGCATGTGCCGTGGGACAGCCCTCTCCCATACGTGGGCTTGGAGTTTGTCAAGACAGCGTCTCGGTTCAACAGAGCCTGGCCGAACCTGTTGCCTGCAATCATGTCCGGCCCAGACCCTGATACAGGAAGATCACGGGGCAGAGTTCGACAAGGCATCGCCAAGCAATCACTGAATGCGCATGTGAGATCTGTGATCCCCATAACTCCTTGACCTTGGAGGCCCAAAAAGAAAGCAACCACAGCCACATGGCCCCAGAGGCAAAGTCATGTTCAGACACTTCCATCGGGTTTTGGCTTGGCTGGTGCCTGGTGGAGGGCTCTTGCCTCACTGCACTCGTGGAAGGAATGGGTGCACACTGCGGAGCATCTGGAACATCTGGAGCATTCGGAGCATTTGCCAACGGAGCCCATGCCAGCCTACGAAGCAAGTCACTGCCTCAACGAGAGCGTTGCTCCGAAGGGCTCCTGGGCGCCTTGGAGGCAAGAGTCGGTTCTGCGAGGGGAAAGAGCGGAAGGTTGGGACTCCAATGGACAGCCTTGGGCTTTTGCTTAGGTTGTCTACAATGGCACCGACGGAGCTCATTCTCAGCTTCCAGCTTCGGCCTTAATTAAAGGATTTGGGGAGGTGGCCGGGTGCAGTTCTCGCAGACTTCGGGAGGATAAGGGTGCATCCACGGAGGCCTTCTGCAAAGGCTTCGACTCCAATGCTCTTGTGCCGGAGGTGGGTGGTCGGATCCGCCTGTCTCGATTCCAGTGGCGCATTGCAGTAGGTTCAAAGCCAATGGGCTTGAGACTGGCTCTTCAGGAATGCTGCCACATCCCAAACCTGCCGAACATTTTCAGCGTCAAGTTCGAGGAGGTCTACGTTCAGCATGGCGAGTGTGCCAGCGTTGAAGGTCACGGCCTGGATCTGAGACGACAACGGTTCGGGCAAGGGGATGAGCTCCATACCCAACCTTGCACCAAGGCCTGTTCCTGGAGTCATTCAAAATAAAGCTGAGATGCAACAGCCTCCAGACTTCAATGCAGAGTCGCGTAAGCCTTCTCCAGTGCTCCGGTCATAAATAGTCGTGTGGATGCACCTAGGTGACAATTCCATCATTTACGGGCATGATTGCAACGCGGGCTGCCAATGTGGATCCGAGCATGTCTACCAGCACGGATGCCTGGAGCTTAACATGCCAAAGAAGGGGCCACATGCCGGTGCCCATGTTGTGTGAAGAGCTGGCTGGCAAGATCCGCCGCCCGAAGGCTATCGTGGAGTTGATCGGATTCCGTCAACGACGTGGTTCTTCATCGTGGGCGGCTGTGAGTGTGATTCAGGGCTACCAACGCCATACCAGGCACCGCGCGCTGTATCTTGAATGGCATGGAGTTCAGAAGCTCTTGCTCATAGTCGAACTGCGAGGCCATCACGGGCCACGCAGGGCCGGAGCTGCACATTGACGAGCTTCCCTCCATGGAGGCCAGTGGTCACAAGAGCTAAGGGACCTGTGAAGCAAGGTTCGGTTCAGATTGAAATGCTCTTTGGTGCTGTTGAGCTTGGCCGAACGGGGGTTGCAGAACTGCAGAGAGGTGACGGCACGTGCTCGCCAGGTGAGCGGTGGCCAGGATCCGACAACTGCACACGTTATTGTCGGGTGGGCTGCTCAGCATGTGGTGTGGAGTCGCAAGTCAGCGCTTTAGGTGGCTAGTTCTAGACTCCTAGACGCGAAGAGTCAGGGTCTACAAGCCCGTCGGCATCCACCATGACAAGCCGAGCTTCAAGAAGACAGCTTCCTCCACCGAGGACGAGGCAGCCGGGGCGATGCTAAGCTCAGCAGGCAGAGTGCCCCTCAGCTGAGGTTTCCATCTACTACGGCCCCAGCAGCTCTGGAGAAGCCGAAGGCTGGTGGATCGGCTCCGGAGCAGGCTCCGAGGGGAGCAGGAGCTTTGCAACAAGCTATGCCTCGCCTTCGGCCGAGGAACTGCGCATGTGTATGCGTTCAACCCCAACAAGGTCCGGGATGGATGAGACATGTTCTTACCTGCAAGAGAAGGCCACGATGGAGGCTTGTTTGTTTGCGCAGGAGGAGCTACCGCCCTTCAGAGGCTGGAAAGCCCCTTGGTGGAGCGGAGTGGACATGACGGTCAAGGTTGACATCGTTGACAAGGCCTGGCAATCAAGGCTGTTCGTTCGTTGGTTCGTTTGTTTTTGTTTTTGTTTTTTGTGTATCGTGGTGTGGTGTGGGGAGACGACGGGAGATGGCTATATATGTTTATACACGCGCTCAGAAGGCAGGAATGGTGTAGCTAGGAAATAGGGATCGCTTCACACGCACTTTCCTTGTCCAGGATCATCATCGCAGCGACAGGGTAAGGGACCTGCAGGCCGTTTCCAGCTGACAGCCGCATGTGCACCTGCACGGTCTCTAAGCCCTGCGACAGGAGCACGAGGACCATGAGGATCATGATGATCATCATGATCATGAGCCTCACGAGCACGACTTCTCCGACGATCTCGACCCACATGAGGCGGCAGCCTCGCATCGTAGGAGAAATTCACATTCCGACCTGCCGCATTCCGTCAACCAATCGAGCCTTCACGCAAGCTGTGGGAGCTGCCACTCGCCATTGCAACGCCGTGGTTGTTGTGCCATCGAGGACGAGGCCATGAAGCCGGAAGATGTCATGCCGCCAGAGGCATGTCATGCCCTTTTCGACCGTGCCTCTCTCCCTTCCTTTCCTTCAGCGCTGACGGTTCCTATCCAAGTTCCACAGGGGAAGCTTGCCGAACTTAGATCTTCAGAAGTTCTGTATGCATCGACAAGGAATCTCGGCAGGCTTCGCCCGTAGCAACAGCAAAGGTCGTAGTCAGTGAACAATGAATGCGGATGTGTTGGCGGCGACCGAAGCAGGATCACTCGCACGGCGAACATCACCCAGAATTGGACCATTTTGCCCCGCCGCCTGGATGCATCGCCTTCATGTGGCCGCTTGCGCTATCATAGCATACTCAAACTCATGCCGGGGGTGCTGTTCGCATTTGCCGGATTTGGGGCTCCGCTCAGGATCATGGACGCTTTTTCCAAGGCGAATGAAGGTACGAATCAGCAGCACCTTGGCCGGTGGGTGGCTGTGTATGTCTACATAGCAGGCGTAGAGGCAGGTAGCTGCAGACTGGACTTGCGCGAGCCCGAGGATCCTAAAAGCTTTGAAAGCAATGATGGAGCACATGAAGGCTGGTGGTCCGTGTGAGTTGCTGATCCGAGAGGATTCATGTATGGTTGCTTGCCAGGACGTCGAGAAGACGGTGGAGGAAATGCAGGCGCGCATGGATCTTTGCCGTGGCTAGCTGTTTCGAAAGTCTTATCTCCCCAAATTTCGTGTTCTCAGGATGAGATGCACCCCGTCTCGCCTGTACATCCCTTGGACGAGGCAACGTCTTCAGCTTGCAAACTGCGAAGCTTGCATGCTCTGTTTGTGGCAGGCCGAAAACGCTTCCTCCTTGTCGGCTAAAGCTCTAACCGCTAGTGGTCGCTGCCTGACAGTCGCATCAATTCCCTGCAAGCTCCAATGCTGATTTCAATCCAGGCTGTTCTACGGAAGCGATGCGCGACAAGATAGAAGGGCTGCTCAGATCAATATGCTGTGGTGATCTGCAGCCAAATCAGCCGCGGCCGTGTGCGAAGGAAATTCTCGCCGGCGGGATTTTACCTGGGGCGGCCAGTGTACCACAGGCCTCGCTGCCCCGATGTGCATCTGCCACAGTAGTTACTGAAAGGTCCGCTACGCTTCTTTGACGTGCTTCATGCATAAGCGCGCTTACTGAACGATAAGACTTCCTATGAAGCCCGTGCATCTGTGCTCGTCTTTTGACGTTGAGCCTTGCCTTGCGGCACGTGGTGAGTTTCGTGCGCCACATGGGCAGGCAGTCCGGAGAACATGTCCGAAGCTCGGTGAGGGGATGTCGAGGCTTGTCGCGGCGGGTTCGTCCCTCTTTCGAGGTGTTTATCTACTACCACCACGATGGAGATGATGCCAGTCTTCACGGATGGTGGTTCGGACCTGACACGATGGAGTTCGGAACCAGCCAGAACTGGGCCTTCAACAGCGAGGCCTGGAGTTTCGAAGATGGGCTTTTGCAGAAGTCAGAAGTCTAGAACACTAGGACCGTGTTGGCGGTCTCGAAGCTGATGGTTCCCTGTGACTGCAGGATTCCGTGACTCCTCCACTCTCCGGCTGGCACGTGCCATGGAATGGGCCGGTGGATCCCGCTTTCAAGCTTACAGAGGCAGGGCGAAGCGCGATCGAAGCTTGTGGATCGAAGGGAGAAAACAAAGCCCAAGTTTCGGGCAGTTTTCGGGGGCTGCAGCTGCCGAAGATTTTGCGTGGAGGGCGGTTCTTGCGACCTGTGTCTGTGTCGTCTGATGGTCCTCTGCCCCGTGCCTGTTCTTCAGGCGGCAGAGGAGGCTATCAGCATCATCAAGAATCACAGTACGCCTCCTGAGGCATGGCAAGCCTCATGTCCGGGGTTGGCGAGCTAGTCTAAGGCATGCCACGCAAGAAAGGGAGATGGGCTGCGTTCACACAAAAAACCCTCCCACTTCGTGCTGTTCAATCGGACGCCAGGAGCACATCGAGGAGCCAATGCAAGTGCCCACAGATGGTGATCCTCTTCCACCTGAGACGACCCCGCCCATCTCTGCAGACGCCTCGGTTCTGAGTAAATTCCGGAGAGGCTTGATAGAGGCCTCTAAACGGGGACACTGGCGAGTGGAGCTTTTCACCACGAGCCTTCCAAGCAGCGAGTGCAGCAGTGACTGTTTTCATAGACCTCGCGTCAGGAAAGGCCAGAGCACGCGAATCTGGTTCCTCCATCGGCGTTCAACAAGGCCCGTCGGCATTCGCTTACCACCCTTGGGGCGATGTGAGAACTTGGCCCCCTTGCAGGACCTGAACCCCGAGCAGGCACGTGAGGCTGGGAACCCCCATGGACGAGCTTTCGCTTTCGTGGGCCCTTCCCTGAAGTGCTGAGGTGATCCAGGACCAGGCCAAGATCATTGCGGCCTCCTCCTCAGGAGCAACGCGCTAATCCCGAGCCCTTCCCGAGCTCCGAGCGAAAAGTGCACCGAGGCCGCTGTCAAGCAGCTGCGACTTGGACGCCTAAAGCCGCTGTTCCAAAACTCGGCCGAAGCCGACGACCCGCTTAGGTCAAGCGGCAAGGACCTGGCAGACCTGGTCTTCGAAGCTCGGAGAATCCAGCAAGTCCCGCATGAACCGCGAGTAACCCTTCCAGACCCGAGCCCAACACCTCGGATGGCAGAGTGCTTCGATGTGGTGCTTACAATCCACGAACAGTGTATGGAGCCGAGGGTATCGACACGAAGATCATCCCCCACGAGCCACCCAGCGATGAGTTCATTGCGCGACTTGCACAGGATCGGCTCGTCGGTGGAAAGGTTGTTTGGATGAGTATCATACCGACAGCGGCAGGATCCAAAGCTTGCAAAGAAGGCGCTCGAAAAGCTCGTCGTTCACTTAGGGCTTAGGGCAGTCAGTGAGCACGAGCGACTAGTGTCAGTCGAATTTACGGATGCGAGCCCGAGGTCACGGTCCTGTCGGAAGCCAATCGGAGATTGGAGTCAGGGGAGGCCCGACTGCCGCACAGCAGAACTGCAGCTAGACAGAATTACCCTCGTCGGTCCATCCAGGCCTTCGCTGACGAGATCTTCGGCCGCCACATGGACAAGTGGTCTGCCGAGGTGCTTCTTAGATAGTATTACCTGCCTCACCAGATGCTGATGATGATTGTGATAATGCAGGTTTGAAGATCAGGATGCACATAGCAGGTGCTGCAAAGCCTGCGTACAGGGAGTGCGCTTGCACAGGCCGAGCCCAATGCCACAGAGGTCTCCGCTCTTGCCTCCACAACTTCGACAGTTTCTCGGTTTGAATATGGACCGGCGAGACTAGTCTTGTTTCAGGAGGCCCATGCATGATATGTAAGGGCTTTAGGAGGGACCCTTAATAGGGTCCCTATTAGGGGTCCCTCCTAAAGTCCTTAGATGATAGCTTCTCATCAGACCGCACCCTCCGACACGGAGCCGCCGATCGCGAACTCGGCTGCCGCGCCGCTGCTCAAGACTGTCGACAAGGCAGGCCGCTTGTGGAGGGATTAAATTCAACGCACTAGCACACAATCAGACACAGGTCCCTGTTTGCTTGGCTCAACAAACAAGTTTGAACATTGACACAGGACCAAGGATGTAAGATGTCCCTTTCATAGTTGCCCGGCCTTTGTGCTAGGTGGCTACTGCTGCCAATGCAGCAGCGGACAAGGCCAGGAAGTGGAAGGCGGCGACGAGCTTCTCGAGTTTCTTCAGTTCATGTGCCGCGATGTTGCGGTGGCCACTTTGAGGCTGCGGAGATTGCAGAAGCCCAGGCCCAACACGAAGCAGAGCAGGCAAGCCCACCCTGTGATCTGCCCGTAATAGCCAGCGCCCACACCCTGTGAATGCAGGGAGCCAATCTGTCGGGCTTTTCATTTTTTCCTTCTTTGTTGGATGGTTACGGATAGCTGTCCTTGAAGTGAATAACTTCTGACGAGCCGTCAGTTGTGCTTGCGGCAAGATGTGCTAGAGCAGTTCCGGTCCGACTCCAGTTACGCATCAGTGGAGCACGGAGCCAGACCGGAGCAGTTCAACAGTGAAGGACAGCAGTGTCGATTGCGTCCCAAGCTCCCCTTACAGGCCAAGAAGGAAGTGGAAAAGATGACCGTTCAGGCCGCAAAAGAGGAAGCAGAGAAGGCCTCTCTGAGAAGCTCTTGCCGTCTCCGTCCATGGCCGGCCCACGGCTCCTTGCAGACAGGCCATAGAGCAGGCAGCCGATGAGGAAGCAAGGGAAGCAAAGCAGGAAGCGACTAAGGAGCAGCTGTCAGACACACGTCTCAAGATTCCGGAGCAGAGCAGTGCATGCTGAGAGCCCCTGAAGGAGGCGGAGTCAGCCGAAGGCGAAGCGAAAGACAAAGCCACCAAGGCCCGCGTCTCTGCGAATCCAAATCCTGACTGAAGCTGAGCTCATCTGGCAAGTCCGAATCCCAAACCTGACGGGTTGGCACAGGTTGCGGCCGCCAAGCAGAAGCTCGAAGAGCTGAAGGGCCAGGTTCCAAAGGAAGCGAAGGATGCCGCAGACAAGGAGCACCCTCATGGCTGATCCCGTAGCACACAAGGTATTTCATGAGTTGACCTCACATGGCACTGGCTCTTGACTTTCTCCGCAGGCCCTGCATACAGCAGAGGAGCATGCACAAATGAAGGAGGAGAAGGCGAACGTCCGGGCTCGAACGCAGTTGCATTTTGGAGAGTTCTCGATGTGGGTAGTTCGCAAAAAAAGGGTCCCTTTTACGGTCCATTTTATAAGGGTGCCGTACTATATTGGGGACCTAAAAAGGGACCCTAATTTAGAGAACTACCCATGTACTCCCGAGAACCCCCGTGCACAACTCGTCGATAGGTGCACGAGGCCAGGTTCGCTCTGGAGGATTTGGGAGCAGAAGCTCCGGCAGAGGTCAAAGAAGCCGCAGAAGAGGATCGGGAACCCAGGGCAGACTTCCTCGGCAATCTGGGTTGAAGCTGCTTCATGCGGTGCTTCGCCGGCCTGTGCAGGCTTTGTCCAAGGCAGAAGAGGAAGCTGATGCTGCCAAGACCGAGGCACTGGCCCATCGCCCATGGGTCACTCTGATTGTTTCGGGTCTCCTGCGCTAGGATGCCTTTAGTTGAAATGCTGAAGCCACCAGCATCCCCTAGCCCGGTTGCACTTCAGGCAACCATTTCGGGAAGTTGGGTCGATTCCGTGCCCTACATTCGCTTCTGTAGTGGTTCGCTCAACCAGTCCTTGTCTTGTCATGGGAAGTAATCAGCGATTTGACTGCCGAGGTAGAGAGATGGGTCCACGTGCGTTGCTCTTTCTTTCTTTCTCTAGCCTCACAGAAAAATGAAAAAAGGCGTTAAGTGGCTGGAGGGATGAGACTGGCAGGCGGATGCAAGCCTACACTACGTTAATTCGTGGATCCCGTGTCTGGTTCGACATCATTTTGCCATTGGCAGGGCAAGTGCTATAGGTGGAGAGACCCTATCAGCCGCTGACTTCAAATCACCTAGACGATGAGAATTCGATGGCAGAGCTGGTGTGCGCGACAGATGCCGTCAGGTCGAAGAGGCACACCACACCCTGGATGCCATGAAAAGCACGGTGACGCCCGAGCAACGCCAAGCTGCCGAGAAGGACGGGAGGGGATCTCTGAAGAGGCTGGCATGTTCAGATACTAAGCGGCCGAGCCCGACGGGTCCGCAGCAAGAAGCTTCGCCTGGCGCACGCAGCACGGGAGGAAAGAGGACCCTTCAACGATGAAGTATAATTAGCCAAAACCCAGGATCAAGATCTTGACTCTTGTCGTTCCCGCCTGGGCTCCAAACATTCCATCACGTCCCCGCGTCTGGAAGCTGAGCCTGGGTCCTGAAACCGCCAGGTTGTCCCTGGGTATGCGTGCAGTGTCTTGCAGTGTGTCATAGACGAGATGAGGCAGGGCTCGGCTGGTGACTTGTGTCAGGAGCTGGAGCAGGCACAGGAAGAGGCCAAGCAGGCGGAGGCCAAGGCGGGTCGACCTGCGGGTTCCTCGCAGTGGATGAGTAGCAGCGGCGCGATTCGAGATGTTGGTCTTCGCCTCATGAGGAAAAGCCTTTCGTGCGTGCTCCGCTAGGCCAAGGATGCTGCCAAGAAGGCCGGCGACATCAAGCTGACCAGCCACGACCCGGCGTCCGACAACGTGCTGTACACTGACAGCCGCAGACTTGGACACGATGGATTGCCCACTGCACGGTGAGACAACTGCCTCCTGTTTGTGTCTTGCTGAGGCCAAGTGAAGGAGGAGAAAGGCATCAATGTGGAGTTGCTTTGCTGAAGGGAGGCTGTTACGTGTCCATCTGTTTGTGCGTGCAGGCGGGGCCGTCGTGATGGGCTCGGAACCGCAGACGGACACCGAGAAAGACCTCCAGGTGGGTTCTTCACACTGACTCGTGCTGGCGATCGCTCTCTGCTTTCTCAGGAGCAGCTTGCGGCGCTGCAGTCCAAGCTGACAGGCATGGAGCGGCTCCAGGTCAAGGACCCTCCAAACCAGAGCCAGCCCGGTTCCAGCTGCTTCCGCTTGGCAAGGACAAGTTGGACGACCAACTGAAAGACAATCTTTCTGCCTCGCTAAGCCAAGACAGCGTGCCCCGACAGCTCATGATTTGGTGGACGGGAGCGTTGCAGAAGGTTGCAGACTTTGAAGCCTGTGAGGAATTGGCGGCCTCGGCCAGAGACGTGCAGGTACACGCCGTGAAGGCGAGTGGTTCGCAGTCCAGTCCACGCTGGAGGCTTCTTGCGCCTTCTGTCCCAGGCACCGCGCGCCCTGGCTGAGAAGTCCGGGGAGGAGCCTGAAGTCCTCGTCGCCACGAAGGAGCAGCAAGCCAGACCGAAGAAGGGAAAGGGCAAGGGATCCGGTGTGCTGCTAGTTGCCGCTGGCCAGCAAGCCGACACCAAATTCCAAGACCTTGCAAAAGCTCATGCGTGCTCCCATGCAGCGAGGTTCTTGTCCTGACGGTCCTCATTGGTGCCTTTGCCGGTGCAGTATTCCTGAAGCGCCGGAGGAAGACCCAGGGGACGCAGGACCTACAGCGGAAGATATCGCTGCACTGAGTTGCATGTTGCACGACTCGTCAGGAGGCCAAGGCAGAAGAAGCCCAGCCGCTGCTGGAGCAGAAGGAGGCACCTGGAAGCAGTGAAGCAGTGCGCAGTGGAGGAAACTGCGCCAGTGCTCGCTCTGAGGCCAACGGCAATGCGGAGGCCGGTGCCGAGCCAGCGAAGACAGCCGGCGAGGAGGTGCGCTTTCGGGAACGGCGCATGCCAAGCATTCGCGACGACGCTGCGCATCGCTGCGTCAACACTTCTTGGGGGTGGTTTCTTCTTTTTGGTTTTAGCACTTGCAGAGTCCTGCCGTTGTTGCAGGCGGCAGCCGAAAGCACTGCTGCCTAAGGCGCGGAGGGAACCCCTGCCGCCGGGCAGCATTCCATTCCGAAGGAAGATGTTCGTGAAGTGGAAGTGTACACATCTTCGTTTGTTCATGTCCTGGCAGCGAGCAAGGTAGTGAACACCAGAAGATGCGACGGAGTCTTTACACTTGCTAAAGGCTGAGTCCTCTTTCGGGCTGCCAGCTTCTAGCGGCGCATGCGCTGGAGGGCACGGCCATCCTGTGAACTGCGTTGCAGGTCCTTGTGTCCGATAGCCGCGCCAGTAGATTGGAAACTACCATGCCGTGCTCTCTCGGGCGCTGCATTGAGTGAAGCATACCACTGCTCACAGGCACTGGGATTTGCTAGCATGTCCCGGACTGCCTGGCACAAAAAAGCTTTGCTGCGTTTCTCGGTCGCGACAGCATGTCGGGAGCGTTTGAACAAGCCTGCAGGCATGGGAGAGCAGTAGAGCTGCGGCCGAAAAGTAAGCTCGCGTGTAGGTGTGGCCCTCCAAGCTGCCGGTGCGCCCGCCTGGTCGGAGGAGTTGTGCGAGGCAAAAGGATTTCGCTTTATTGGGGGACGCATGTTCCTTCCAACAATGCGGAGAAGCATAGCTCTCTGGCTGCTTGCAGAGATCGGAAAAATCTTGTGGCCTTTTGACATGTTTTCTCGGCTCGAAAATGCTCGAAAGCGGCTTGGGTGCCGGAGGCTCTTTGGCCTTGCGTGTTCCGCCCTTGCGGCGGCACGCGGCACGCGCCCCGCCGGCCGGGGCCTCCTTCCCAGAGAACCCTATACCCCTTAATTAAGGAATATACCTTAAATCATAATATTAGGGCCCCTATAATTTTTGGTATATTCCCTAAACCCTAACCCCTAAACCCTAAACCCTAAACCCTAAACCCTAAACCCTAAACCCTAAACCCTAAACCCCTATTCCTTAATTAAGGGGTATTGGGTTCTCTGGGTTCCCGCTCTTGCGATGTTCTCAGCTGCTGCTTGCGGGTGCTCTCAAGGCCATGGCCGAGCTCTCTCGCTGGCAATGGGCACCTCGTCTGTGCTGTTCTGCACCGGCGACAACTGGCTTTGGGGTTTTCGGCCGATCAGGGCTGTTAGATGGCGCCTTGTCTTGTGACTGAGGATGACGCAGGAACGTGGAGAGACTTCGCAGAGCAATACCAGGCAGGACATGTGAGCCACTTCTGGGATATGCCTTCGTTTGATTTGTAATTCCCGCACGGAGGCGCAGATGGAAGCGGCATCTCGGCTTCATGGATTGCAAAGGAACAGGATGCACGGGATGAAATTAATTGATAGTGCAGTGGTGACCGCAGAGCCTGCATCGAAGGATTGGCCTCGGAAGCGCTTCGTGATGTTGCCATAAATGGTATCGGCTGAGTGATTCAAGCTTCTTTGGATGGTGATCTGTTTGGCATTCCTGTTTCAACAGTTACCTCAAATACTTGTTCCCGGAACCGTTCTTGTTCGTTTGAACAAGGATGCCGGCGTTTCACGCTGTGGGTGGGTGGCCAATGTCGGGGTTTTCAAGGATTATCTCGATTGGTTGCTCGTTGTTTGAAACGGTGGAAGCGGCCAATGCCGGGGTTTCCAAAGCTTGTCTGCACTTGTCTCCCTTCATTTTGGACAGTTTCGAACCTTGTCTTCTCTTGTCTCGCCTCGTCTCCGTTCATCTGAAAAAGTGAAAAGATGAGCAGACCAGTGGAAAAGACACAAGAGCAACCTCGCTTGAAAGAAGTAATAGAGAAATTGACAACGGAGAATTCCAGAAAGACGAGCGTTCGCTGAAAGCCTCTGTCAAACACCACTACTAGTCTCTGAAACCTACGGGAACCCGATGACTGTCCTCATGCCTCGCAAGAGGCATTCCAGCGCCGTGAGCGAAGAGCTGGGCTTAGCTACGGGCATTCCAGGAGCAGTGTGGCGTGGAGTTTAGGACTTGCAGCTCCGAAGTAAGAGTAGCTCATGAGGATAACAGGTTTTAGGAGTCGCACAGCAACAGTAGATACTACATGCATCAGTACCGACACCACTACAGCTGCCTCTGTTCCGAGTACCAGCATTGATGTAACATCTACCTGCAAAACACCGGAGAACTATTGATAAACTTTGATAGAATGTGCTAGTACTACTTGTGTCACATTGGTACACAAAGCAGACTTGACCCTGCAACTATCACAGCAACGCCTGGTGACTGGTGATCACCGAGCACATTGCTGTTTCCACTGCGGGCAACATGGTCTTTGCGAGTAGTCTGAGAAAGACTATCAGGTGCAGAGCCAGCTGCCTCGGATCAAAACCGTGCGCCCGAGGTGTGGAAATTTCCATCCCCCCATTCGGCACGTTTCGCATGGCCAGATCCCCAGAACATTTGTTGTGGCCGTGCTCGTAGATCTGTCGAGCCCAACTCTCTTGGCGAAAGCAAGCTCTTGTGTAAAAGAACGATCGAGAGCCTTGTTCAGGAACTGCAGAAAATGGCCCAGATCACGGTGCGCGGCAGGAACCCGGGCTACGAGTCGGACCACCCAGCTCTTCCACGGAAACGAGTGCTGAGCGCGAGTTCGATTCCAACGAAAACTCTCACCACTCGGTGCGCGAATCGCTTTGTCACAGAAGGGCCGACTTTTTCCTGTCTGACTTCACTGAGCCAAGTTGGCTGAGGCGAGAAATTCGACGCCAGGTTCGGAAAATAGAACTCGGCCAGTGCCTCGGCTTGTCGTGTGCTGAGGAGTTTTGGCAGGTGGAAGCACGTGTCTTATGGGCATGGATGCACAGGCTACTTTCTCCTCGGCTACGAAGGTGAGATCTGCTCGTCGGACTCCTTAGTGGACCGTATGGAGGACGGACGCATGCCTTCCCAAGTCAAGTCAGGCTGCGAAAGCCTCGTTGAGCTTGCACCTCAGGATGCCGATGTTGTGGACAATCTGGCGAAGGACGGGCATGCTTGGAGGATCATGGGACTTAGTAAATCAGGTTATAAGGCCCTTAATTGGGGTTATAAGTATAGTTACCCTAATTATAGCCCTACTTACTAAGTCCCATGATCCTTTAAGTGGGGGTTGTCTTCTCATCTGCCCCTGGGCGTGATGCGCAGTGCCTTTCGACTTCGTCAGGTCTTGCGGAGAATATGCGACGAGCCAGAGGAGTTTTCCTTCCGCAGCCTGAACTTAGTCGACGACGAGCGGGAGTCTCAACCAGCCACCCGATTCGAGTTCTAGGCCCTAGGCTTCTTCTAAAGGCTTGTCACTCGAGTCTAAAGTGCCAGGTTCAGGGACAACCTGGGGGCCAACGAGGAGGCGCAGCAGTTCCTGGAAGAGCTAGGCGCTGCTGGCTTGTTTTTCAACTGGGAGTTGAACATGATACGAGGAGCATCTGTCAGGCCGGGAGAACGAAAGGCAGCCATTTTAGAGCAGTGGTCGGACTAGGGACTAGCAGCCGTCGCTGCGAGTGAAACAGCAAAGGAAGCTGGCGTCTTCTCGTTGGTTTCAGGTTTTTAGCTTCGGGGCTTTTGGCAGGATTCGAGCTGATCGAGGAGGGTCCTCAGCGGTGTCCTCGGCATCTGAACAGGAGTGTTGCTGCATCAAATTCACCCGGCGTGCCGTGTCAGTGCAAACACTGTTCAAACGTGAAGCCGTCTGTGTGCATACTGGGGGATGACACACTGCCCATGAAAGCTTCGTCGGTTTTAGTTTTTGCAAACTCTGGGTCTTGTGACTTGTGACAAGCATCCTGCCGAAGTATGGCGCAGCAATCGACGCGATAGCCTAGAGCGCTGAATATGCAATGTGTGCTATCCTTGTCTCCTTTGCTTGCCTGATAGTTCCGCGGTTGTCTTGCAAGACGCTTTTGCAGGAGTCCTCTTTTGTGCCCGAACCACTTGTTACACATCTCGAGCCTTGCGAAGTCAGTCAGATGTCGTATGCTGAGCCACGGGCATCAGTCACTCTCTGGTCAAGAGGGCCCTCCCATCATGTTCATGATGCGATCAGAACTGTACTGCTTGGGCGTCCCACTTGGTGGACATCCAGAACCCGCAGTTGCTGCGCCCAAATTCATGCTGTGAAGCTGCTGTAGTCTTGGCTTTCGTTTTGTTGGCTGCCTCTGCCCTTGCCCAGGTCGTTTATGGTTTTCATGCAGGAGCAGGTGGGGAATACAATTGAACATTGAATATATTTCGATGTAATGCGGTACATACGGCTTTCTTGTCAGTTCTACTTGCTTGCGTTACCTTCCAAGGGCCCGCACGTTTGTATTTGCGCACTGATGCGATTCTTCGGCTTGGTCCAGGTAAATCATGGTTACAACTAGCTTGGGCTTTGATGGCATCTGTTGGTCAGTGGCCCCAGCAGATTTACTTGCCCCGTGGCTGTGCAGGTGGAAGGCTTGCGAGGAGCCTTGAAAGATGTAGAGGCCACCAGCGTTGTCGTACGTGGCCGCAGAGCCGTCATCTGCTGGTGCCGATTGTACTTGCTATCTCGAAAGGCCCGGTTGAAAAAACTCGGCGTCAACCCTGCTGTAGAGAGCAATGCCTGCAACATGGCCGCTCGAAAGCAAAGACCCGGTTTCTCCCCGTCAGTCCGAGGCTCCTAGGTCGCCAGGCATCAGGCCACGATGGGATTCAACTCTCAGGCTCCTTCGGTTTTCGCAGCTTTTGATTGAAACATTCCGAGATGAGATGCGGGAAGTTGGACTCTGCCTCTGACTTGTGACTTGCCCGCTGCGCGCCGGAGCTCACCCCAGAAGGTGTTCATGCTCACATCCGAGGCTGCTGACAACAACCTTGTCGAGTCCAATGACGTGGTTGAGTGCAACAACGTTGAGTCGAATGACGTTAGCTCTAAAGCTGCCAGGCTGCAACAGATCATTTTTGGTAGGGGAGTTTTGAGTTTTGGGTCTCACCTGCGTCCTGCTCCCAGGCTGAGCTGGGCTCCGGGAATGTCCCAACGAAGGACACGGAGAGCCGAAGCCAACTGCAGGAGGCCCGTGGCTGGTGTACTTGGAGGATCATGGGACTTAGTAAATAAGGTTATGAGTCCCTTAATTGGGGTTATAAGTATAGTTACCCTAATTATAACCCTACTTACTAAGTCCCATGCTTTTTTAAGTATCTATTGCTCCTCGAAGTGTCTGTGTCGCATCTCAAACGGAGAGGCAAGCCCAGCTGCTCACCCGACGAGCTCGGCACCTCAGTCTGCCCCCTTTGGCCTTTGGAATTTACGATGACGGGCCGCAGCCCACAAGTAAGCCTGTTGAGAATACGAATACAAAGTATTACGCGACTACGACTACGACTATCTTCGACGACGAGTACGACTACGACTATCTACTACTACGACTATGACTGCTGCTGCGACTAAGTTGAGTGGCTACAGCTGAACTACACTCGTCAAACGAGGCCAGGGTGAATCGCCAGCGAGCTGTGAAGTCACAGCAGCCCAGCTCTCAGCCGAAGTCACCACGACAGGGAAGTGCTTGGGTCTGGTGTGATGGTGTTTTGGGTCCCAGACACTGAACGAGGTTTCAAGTCTTGGATGTATTCGCCTGCTTACATCTTGCCTGCAGATTCTCCCTTCTGGCGATCAGCATTGCCTCAAGTTGCCGGGGTCTCGTGATACTGTCTGCCACACTGCCGAAAGCCAAAGCATTCGTTTTGCGACTGGTGCAGCTCAAGAGCATGTCGGTGCGCCGTATATGGTGAGGAAATACTTTCTTAGTCCTTGACTCTTGACTCATACAGAGTCGTGAGTAGTGTTTCTAAAGGCTGCTTGAATTGGTCGCTCGGGCATTATGTCTGGGAATATGCGCAGGCCCGGCAACGCGACACTGGAGGACCTCCTGAGAGAGCTGAAGGCCGAGCATCTGAGTCGAACAGGGAGGTGTCGTGATGACGATGGTGGTGGTGATGTGAATTCATTTTTGCAATGCAGGGCAATTTGTCTCACTAGCTATGGCTCTCAAAACGACGTTTTCATGTTAGAACATGTTTCGCTGACATGGAGAAACTCAGTTAACACTTCAGTCAATGCTGTTCGAAACGACAGCAGTCAGCTAACGAAGCAGTGCTGGACGGCCATGGCCACATGGTCGCTGCGGATTAGAGTCCCGTTGGTCGCATTTCCTACAGGATTTTAATTAAAACAGACTCGAGCCTCCACAAGCTTTTTGATTAAAAACAGCTTTTAATTGACAGCAGGCCTGTGTCCTTGACGGCCGAGGTAGCTCTCCCGGGCATGCGCTTGCCCTGCCTGAAGCGTCAGGCCAGGGACAGGGATTGGCTCCAGTGGCCTGCCGTATCTCAGTGCAAGTGCAAGTATGCAGTGTGGGGGGAGGGGCTGGGGTTCGCCCTGCACACGTAGTCAAGGTCTTGGTGCTAGTATGCGAGAGTTTGTGGGCAGTAAGGGCAGCAGTCGAGTCCTTTGTGCGAAAAAATGCGAGAGTTTGTGAGACTGCATTCTCATTTGCATGTATGTAATATATATATATATATATATATATGTATATATATATATATATGTATATGTATGTGTGTATATATGAACATACATATGTTCATAGGTGTATATGTATATACAAGCAACTCGTTTCTTCTCTTACAGGGTGTTGCAGCCATGTTCACTTTTCTCTCTCATCTTAGAAGCAGACACTGCTATGCAGTGTTGCATCTTGCTCCAGGAAAATATGTTGCTGTAAACCAAGTATTTTGTAATAATCATTTGCTATTGAAACTCAACTGAACGCCGCACACTGAGTGTACTATGCATCGATGCCAACATCACGTGGCCATGGCCCCGGTAAATTCCCAATGGTTTTTCCCTCGACAGTTGCATCATGGATTGGCGGGAATGACTTAAATTCCCAAGCTCAAGGCACAAGCCGCTCCAAAGGGGGGAAGGGAGAATGGCCAGAAGTAGGGACCGTTCCTAGACACGAAACCCGTGTACAGTAAATCACGTATACACCGTGTACCACCTATGATATACGAACTAACGCGTTGGCGTGTGGTAAACCCCGATCTCATTATTCCTGTAGGTGCACATATTCAGATTGACTATCATACAGGCACGCAAGTCGAGCCACGAATTACCCATGTTGGCGCGAGGAAAACCGCTAGCATGGTGCTAGGCAAGTTTCGAACCGCATGCTCAAGGTGAGCCGATTGTGCAGCTGCACCTCGTCATCCCAACCCTTTAGCGCAGTTTTCATGCTAACTCTTCGCAGATAGAGTACTGCCGCAGGACAAAAGCTCGCCACATGCCGTGTAACTCAACATGTCAGGCTCTGGAACCCTTTTTTCCCCTGTGGACTCCTGACACAAGGTCCCAGAAGGCCTCTCCGCCGGAACAACAATATTACGTCTTATTCCGACGATCTAGCCATTCCGCCCCGCTGGCCCTTTAAATGGACTGCCGGCCTCTCCGCTGCTCCGCGGCACATGTTCCTGTTCAAAGAGCTGTATGTCGAATTTTTCGTCCCGGCGATGTGTAAGATCAGCACTCGGTCTGCAACAGCCGCGTGCTTCCAAGATCCAGGTCCAGGTACGTGCCTCTCCGAGTTTTCTTGCAGCTCTGCTTCTTTAACCTTTCGAGCCTCCAGCCAGGTTATTCTTGGGCATTGATAGACGGTACAGCGCGCTAGATCCGTGCAAGCTCGGCGCTAGCAGAATCTCACTGAAGACCTTCATGGCCCACCTGGCCATGCTCCTGCCCGTGGAACGGACAGCGGACGTGATCAGACCGAGACAGCCACTACATGCAGTACGCGCGCAGCACGGCTCCGGCATCGAGCGAGCGGGCGTAGAGGTCAACAGCGTTGGAAATTCGATTTGTGCGGAGGTCGTTTCATGGGCCTGTCATGGGCAGAGCAGGTCAGATCCCTGTCGAAATTCGCGTCGCCCGCCAACAGTCGAGCAGCAGTAGCAGTGCTACCGACAGCTCGTCCGACAGCAAAAACGTCAGCGTGCTAGTACCGTTCTTAGGAATACACGCGTGTATCGCCAAACGCCAGAGCTTATCATCACGTGTCTGTAAGCCTGTTTTCCTTTCGTCACATGAAGCGGCACTCAACTACAACAGCAGTAAGACTATTTTCGGGAACAATAGTTTTTTGATAACCACCCCTTTTTTATACGTGTGTGTATGTATGTCTGTATGCATGTATACACACAGAAGAAGATCCGTCCATCCATGCATCCATCCGTCTATGCATATACCCAGACGTCTGTACATCCGGACATACATAGAGACGCATGTTCTACCGAAAATGACCGTTGTCCATGGATTTGGGGGCGGGCGGCCAGGAAAAGTCGGGCAAGTGGGGTTGGAGCCCTCAAGTCATTGTCGAGGGAGGGGAAGGGCAGCTTCGGCAACCCAGGCGCAGCAGGAGCAGTGGCCACGACTGGAGGCAAGGGAACGCGGCCAACAACTCTCCCTAAAACTGGTGATGCACTTGGAGTAGTACTTCGCGGGGAGACACTGCCTTTGCAAGGTTGTCCCTTGCTCATGTGGTAGTTTCCGAAGACGAAGGGTACTTTATTTTGGGGTCCTTTTAATAAGGATCCTACTATTTAGGGTACTATATTAGGCTCCCCTATTTTCGGAAACCCCCATGTTGTTGGAGCCAACTGACAGCCGCCTTCTTGCACAGGCCAGCCTGTCAGGAACGAAGGCGAAAAAGCGAAAGGGCTCAGGAAAGGCCAGGCCAAAATGCATTGTGGTTATTGTGTCGCAGTGGGGGGAGTGAATTTTGGAAGCCCGGGGACTCGCTGGTCAGAGTATAGGACTTTGCTGGGATTTGCCCCAAGCACGGGATCTTCATGATGTCGGGCGTATTAGGGCGTGACGCATGCTTCCGCGTCGCCAGGGGAAGGGAAAAAGCAAGACAGGGAGAGGTAAATCTTCCAATGAGCCAGGCGACCTGCCAGGAAGTAATTTTGACGCATGGATGCCGGTTGTGCCTTAATTGGGGTTATAATTTAGTTATAATTACTTATAACTATAATTCCCTTATTTATAACCCTACAGTTATGCAGCGTTTGGGGACAGTTCCAAGGTTCTCACGAGCCGGCAGATGCGAGCTCGCCGCCAGAGAGTGGGACACTTGAAGTATTAAGAAGTTCGCTCTTTCGCCTCATTGCCCATCTCCGAGTGGTGTTGCACTTCTTCCATGGCTGCTGTGTCTTCAAGGGCCTACTACTTCGCAGGACTAGGCGACGACGACGGTTTTTTTTACCGCTGCTACCACTAGCTGCTGCTTCTTTTGCTGTTGATCGGCCTTGCTCGGCTACTGCGACGACGCTTCTTAGGGCATCTGCTTCTGCCATCGCCACTGACAGTGACACTGTGGTCGGCACTGCCGCGGCTGTCTTCCACAGCCCCACAGCAGTGCGCTGAAGTGCATGTAGTCACAGTCTTGTAATGCCAAGGTGCCGATCCAGTGATGCATCAAGTACCGATCCTCGAAATGAGTCTGGCCTCAGAGCTGGGCCCTAAGGGGTGTTCGAGCTGAATGCAGCCTAAGCTGAGACCCTGGAGGATAACTTGTTCTGCACCTCGGTGTCTCTCTGATGTTGCAAGAAATCCTTGGTACTGTCACCCTTTGACCTGATGCATCTTCCGAATCTTGAGCATTGTTCCCCTCTGGCACGAGCTTTAATTTCTTGACGCTAGAACTTCTACTGCTTGTTATCATGAGGGGTTAGATCAGTTCAGGCATAATACCTGCCACCAGTATAGTCCAATTGACGATGCCAGCAAGGGCTCTGCTGCCCGGAAGCAATGCCTCCTTGTGCAGAGCATCAGATCGTGTCAGGGGTTCTCGACGGGATTGCAACAGGATGCGCCCAGCTGGGCCGGCAGATCTCGTCGTAGCTTATGGCCTGCAAACTTGACTATATTATACTCGACTTTACGACATGGTTATACTATACCATACTTTACTATACCATACTTTACTATACTATACTATGTTATACTTTACTATA